AGTTACAAAGGGGCTTAATTTTTCATTGACAATCAAGTTTTAAAAAATCTGATGGGAGTGGAGTGCAAATGAACAGTTCTTCATTAGTCTTGCTCTTGCCCTTAGCAATTTTCCGATTTCTACTTTATGAGCAAAATTTGTGGGATTTTTCCATTTAGTTTCGCACTGTATCTTGTCTTCATTTTGGAAGCACAACATCAAGTCAATGAGCCAGATTTGAAGGTGTTTGAACAAGGCAATCGAAATTTATTTCAATTTTTGGTTCTGAGTGTATTTGCTAACTACTTATGATGCAAAAAATAAAAGAAAATTTTGTTTTTTCTATGTAATGGACTTTTCTAGAATTTATAGAAAAGCTAGGGGGTTTCCCTTTTCATTTTTGGGCTTGGGGAAATTAGGAGGGAAATGTTTGAATTTGAATTTAAAATTTGCTTGGGAAGATGTAATGTGTGTGGCTTGGGATGGGGTAGTGTCCATTATTGCTCCTAGAAAACTGCATTATGCATGGCTTGCAAAGGGGTATTGTGGATGGCTTCGGAAGGGGTAGAGTCCATTAGTGCTCCCATGAAAGTTAAGAGAACTTTGGCTAGGGAGCCAAGCCAAGTCCAAAAAAGGAAGATTTTTTACCTTGCTGAATGATTTTTTTTGCTGTGAATTTTCAAAAATCAGGAACATAGTTCCCGTTTTGGTTGGTCCTTGGATCCTCATTCAAGCCATTGAATCTAGGCTTTTTTAGCTTTAGCCTATTTTCTCTGTATCGCAGTTGAAATCCCTAGTTTCTACCCTATTGTGAACTGTTTCTCTCTGTTCTACATCAAATGGTATCGTAGCAGGAATCCTCTCTTTTGGGCCTATAGTTATGGCTGATAGAGGAGGATGTGGAGGCCGAGGTGGAGGTACTGTGCTATGGGCAGAATATCAGGAATTGTTGAGGAGATTCAATGAAATGGAACAACTGGTGGGTCATCTCTCCTACTTCAAACAAGAATCAGTTACTCATGGAAGTGAGAAATCGAGTGAAGAAAGTGTAAATCCTTTCCACAACCTAAGGGATAACCCTTCAGTGGAGGATAGGTTGGTCTTTACCCCAGCCAGGTCGGATCAATGTGCAAGACTCGATGTCCCTGAATTTTTGGGAATGTTTTTTGCCCGATGAATTTTTGGACCAGTTAGACAGTGTGGAGGCTTTCTTGTGGGAAGAAAAAAGGAGCACACAGGCTAGTGGCAACTAAGCATGTCTTTGTTGAGGGGGACCAGTGGGATGAGATTCTTGGATCGTTATTTGTTCATTAGACTGTTGACCATGCCAAATTTTTGGATAAATATTTGTTGTAGTTGAAGCAAACCTGGGATTATGACTTCGAAAACCCTGCACCGCTATAGAAGGGACTGCTAATTCAGTGCTGCTTCCTTTGGGCATTTTCTGCATTTGATCTTGAATTGCTCACACATATATATTGGTTCGTTTAAGCAAAAAGTGGAACTTGACTTCACATTCCCCTCTTGAGTCGCATATGCAATAGAGTTAACATCAAGGTATACCGGGGAAGGGGCTAGGGTCGTGGTGGTAGTACCCCACACCTTAGTCACCACGCTGTGGTTTCCATTCCCACCTTTAACACCACCCCTACTAATACCTTCAACAAGCTAACTCCTAATCTACTTGAAAAAACGGGTAGGGGCCTGTCTTCTCCACTGAATCAAAAAAAATAAAAATAAAAATGAAGGTGATCTCTTATTTAATGCTTTTGAGTCAATTATTAAGTTATTTGATTGAGAAATATTTTAGTGTCCCTCAAACAAGAAATGTTGTAAAGAGTGTATAGAACATATACACGTAAAGAACTTGTTGAATTTCAAGAAGTGGGAGCACTTTTCACGTTCTAAGGTTTGGGAAAGATTTTCTAGTATCTCAGTTGAAACTATTTATATAGCCATCTCGGATACAATAGCAGTTGGCTGAGGGCGAGTTTTGTACCGGATCTTGGAACAGATGGTTTTACACTATAAGTTGTGGTTTGTTAATTGATGGACACTGAAGAGCATGTTAGCTCTCCATGAGATTAACTCCTCTTCCACTTCTATTGCAGAAAATGTCACTTATATATATATATATATATATATATATGGAAAAAGCTGGCGTAGGCCCACTAGCTTACAGCTACATATGAGCCCAACGGCCCAGATTGATTTGGGTCGATCTAATGATCAAGATTGCATTTCATGTTTGAATTTTAATTTTTTTTTTCTATAAATCCAAATCACTTAAAATTTCGAGCGTGTGTTCTTTAAAAATAGGAGAATCTAATCAAAATATAAAAAAACTAATTTGCAAAAAATATATTGACCAAAATATCCCCGAAACTTTTCATGGGTATTTTGGTCAATTTATATTTTGCAAATTATTTTTTAAATATTTTTATTAGATGATTCTTTATGAGAAAAATAGCAGCCTAAAATTTCATGTGATTTGGACTTGTAGAAAAAAAATTAAAATTAAAATACAAAATGAGGTTGTAATCGTCAGATCGACCCAAATTGAATCTGGACCGTTGGGCTCATATGTAGCTGTAGGCTAGTGGGCCTACGCCAGCTTTTTCCTATATATATATATATATATATATATAATATTATATTTGTAAAACCCGCGGACTTAAGGTGGTTCTCTTCTTGAAAAACACAGGCAACACATTTGGCTGTTTGAATGTAATAGGCAACATGTTCTTGTAACAATGCCTTTTGTACCCTTTCTAACAATCACTGCCCTAATTCAGAAACAAGAGAGACCACAAGTCCACCTTTAATCTCTCTTGCGATGCATGTGTGCTCTTGGTTATCTTCACCTCTTTTTCTAGAGCATTGGCATATGTTCTCTTAAGAAGCATGGGAGAACCGCAAGGGTGCGTGGTAAAATTGGGAAAGATGTGGAAAACATACTTGGGAAAAATACTGTTGGAATACAATGGAATCATGTAGCCCCCAAAATACCCCATAGGTGATGATCCTACAGCTTTTTAAGCTATTTCCTGAAGGACAAATACCCCACGCATACTCCATTAAATACCCCACGCATACTCCATTTTTCTTCATATTGTGGTATCCTTTGCTTGCTTTGTTTCCTTCATTCTTTTATCATTGTTATCATTTGTTAATTCATGGCAATTACTTTCAATAACAGTTAAACCAGAAGTCTGAGATAGAAGATTATGAAGTTGAGACTAGTGACTGGACAGAGAGTGAAGGATATATGGAAGCAGTCAACAGTCCTGTAGTCACACCAGTGCCAGGAACTGGTGGCAGGCGTTATTCGCGGGCAAAGGTTTCTAAAATCAGAAGATCTATACCTCAAAGTCCTTCATTGAATGACAGTGAGAAATCCTTGTTTGCTCCATTTTTATCCTCTGCTCTTATGCAAATTAAGTTCTCTATCCACCAAATTCTGGAAATAGAGGTTTTTGATTTTTGTTTATTGATTTGTCCTTCATTGAGAAATCCTTGTTTGCTCCATTTTTATCCTCTGCTCTTATGCAAATGAAGTTCTCTATCCACCAAATTCTGGAAATAGACGGTTTTTGATTTTTGTTTATTGATTTGAGAAATCCTTGTTTGCTCCATTTTTATCCTCTGCTCTTATGCAAATAAGTTCGCTATCCACCAAATTCTGGAAGTAGAGGTTTTTGATTTTTGTTTACTGATTTGCTTGTTTTGCAGGTTCACCTTCTAAGAATACTTTGACTCCTGTTGGTACCTGCCGTTATGACAGCTCACTAGGTAAATAAAAATGGAACAAGATATGATGTTGCTTACGAGACATGCATATGATATGCAGATGCTGAGAATCTTGTAATTATGTATGGGTGATTGTACATATGACTCATATTATGCAATTTGCCCTCTGCAGTTTGGTACTTGAATGATGGACCGAGTTTATTTGGTTTTTGCTCTTTCAAGTTTGTTTTTTGAAGTTTTGCACTAGTTTCTTTTTAAATGAAAGAAAGAACTTGAATGTTTGCACTGTTGTTCAAGTAACTGCTTAAGACGGCAGAATGGAACGTAGAAAGCTTCAACTTGCTAGGCTCTTTTGTATAAATATGAGTTTTTGGTGGATATAATATGCATTTGTCCCCCGCTCTGCCATATAGTTTTCCTCTCTAAAGTGAGTCAATACTTGCTAATGTTGTCTCTTCTGCTGTCTCATGAAACCCTGAACATCTTAATGCAGGCTTGTTGACAAAGAAATTCATTACGTTAATAAAACAAGCAGAAGGTGGGATCCTTGATCTGAATGAGGCTGCTGATACTTTAGAGGTGAGTAATGGAGTTTGGGATGCTTTGGCTTTGCTTTCTGTCATGTTTTAGCTCTGCCAATTTATTTGATTTGACTCTTGGCAGGTTCAAAAGAGGAGAATCTACGATATAACAAATGTTCTGGAAGGAATAGGACTTATAGAGAAAACATTGAAGAACAGAATACGTTGGAAGTAACCTCTGAAATCTTCCTCAATTTCTTTTAAATGTGTATCATATTGCTATTGGCTATATATATTTTTATTATCTATAAAACTTTTCCTATAACTGTTGTAATAGGGGACTTGAAGAGTCAAGGCCTGGGGAGCTAATCAATGGAGTTGCAATGCTTCAGGTACTTAATCATGCATCACATACTGAAATGGTGGTTAAAGTCATTGGTTATGATTGTGTGGCCTTGTCTTCTGCTCTCTTTGGCAGTTAATATGTGCACGCGGTATGCCTTTTCGTTGAATTATGGATGTATGTTACGGTTAAACTTATGTTAAAGGGTTTGTGTCATATGCTCAGTGCTTTTCTGTATCACCTTATTGGTTGGTTGTGTAAATCGCGAACTTGCAGACAGTAGTTAATAGTTTGTTTCTGCCTGGGGCTTTGAGTTACTTGTGTGCAAGATGTATGGTTGTTAATGTCATACATGAGTCTTCAACCTTTGGTTTGGCACGAACTTGCAGACAGTAGGTAATAGTTTGTTTCTGCCTGGGGCTTTGAGTTACTTGTCTGCAAGATGTATGGTTGTTAATTTCATACATGAGTCTTCAACCTTTGGTTTGGTTGTTAATTTCATACACGAGTCTTCAACCTTTGGTTTGGCGGGAAATGATGGATACCGCTTCCTGAAGGCATAAGCACCTGGATGACTGTTCAGGTTCTGAAGTTTAAATCAAAGACCTCTTTAAGATCTACCACCCTTGTCGCCATGGGTTTTTTTTGTGAATTTTAACGAGATGCTCCTTTAACCAACTAAAAATCGAATATTATCTTTGACGTACTCTTTTCATTGATAAATTATATTCTGAGTTATGCTCAGTGAAATTTTGCATCCATGCTTCAATTGCGTTAGCATTTTTATGTATGCACGTTTCTGTTAATTGGGAAATAGGACCTCAGGGAAACATAAGAGTGGTGAATCTTTCATGTAGTATTGGTGACTTTTCTTCTTTGGGATAAATTTGTAATGTTGGAGATCTGTTGAATATCCACATGGCAAAATGGGATCACCATTTTATGCTTCTTCGCTTTTAGGGGGTTCAAAAGGGTTCTGTTCTATGGCTCTATCATTTAACCATGGAAGACATTATCCCAAGCACTTGTCAAAACTAGATGTCTTGGGTGGTTCAAAAGGTGTCTTGGGTGGTTCAAAAGGGTTGTATTCTATGGCTCTATCAGTTAACCATGGAAGACAAGGAATTCATAAAATAGATCCATTACAGGCATTTGACATTATGTGAAGAATGTTTTAGAATACGAATTAGTATTAGCATGCGATGGCCACACGCGCTAAAATAAAGGAAAGAGTATAATGTTACTCTCATGGATAAGCTGAGATGCAGTTCATTCCATTACCAGATGTCATACATATTTGAATTTTAAAATATTGAATTAAATGGTGAAGATTATTTCTTTTTGGGCTTTTCAAGTAGAAAGCTTTATAAGATATTACTTTTAAGATATTGGACTTCTTTACTGTTTTGCCCATCCTTTAAAGACAAAACTCAAAATTTTATTTTTGACTTCGACTCTCTTACCTTTTCTAGAGGAGTAAATTGACTGTTGTGCCCATCCTTTAAAGACAAATCTTTGAGTCTCTTTTTTTCGCATTTAGACACGTTTTTCCTATTGTTTCTTCCCTCCCCATTGCGTCCCCCACCCCAAAACCCCAAAACAAAAAACCAATGTTTTTAGTTCTTCTCTTTCGCACATTCTCCATAAAACTCAACTCACTATTCCTTCCTCTCACATTCTTTCGCTAAACACCCAACCCCTTGCAGGCTGAAGTCGAGAATATGAGCATTAAGGAGCACAAACTCGATGATAGCATAAGGTTTGCTCGTCACCCATCACCTTATTCTTTTTATCTTTAGTTGAATTTGTTGCTCTACTAAAGCATTGTCCCTTCTGCAGAGATAAGCAAGAGAGGTTGAGGATTCTCAGCGAAGATGAAAACAATAAAAAGTACGTAAACTTATATCTGTTTGAAGGTTGAGAGAACTTATATCTGTTTGAAGTTTGAAGGTTGAGAGAACTTATATCTGTTTGAAGTTTGAGAGAAGCTATCTTCTTAAAGATGTTGGAGAAGGAAATGGATATATTTTGGAAAAACCCTGAAAGAAATCTTATATTTCATTTTGTATTGGAAGTTTCCTTGATGATTGTTTTTCGTTGATTGTTTAGATGGCTATATGTGACTGAAGAAGATATCAAGAGCCTTCCTTGCTTTCAGGTTTGACCCATGTAACTTGGAGCTCTATGTATGGTACTTTTGGACAAAACACCTGAATTTGAATTTATAGAAGCAAAGTGCTCTTTTGTGTTTTTGCTAATTTTTCCTGAGACCCAGATTCAATTTTTTTTTTTCATATGACAGAATGAGACACTCATCGCAATAAAGGCACCTCATGGCACCACTCTGGAGGTCCCAGATCCTGATGAGGTGGGTAATACATATAACATGGGGGTAAAACCCATGGCAATTCATGTGGAAATTCCTGATAGGTGAAATGTCTCTATCGACAGGCCCCTGATTATCCACAAAGGCGATACCAAATGCTCCTTAGGAGCACTATGGGCCCAATTGATGTCTACTTAGTCAGGTGCTTTTCAATTTCAAGGGAGCACACTTTTATTTTATTTTCATATTATTTCCGCATTTGAAATTGAAATGGATGTCCCCCATCCCACAAATAGTCCTTTTCTTGGATAAATGATGCCTCACTTTGGAACGTTAGTTGTTCATAGTGTTTTATGGTAGTTAATTTTTTAAGCATATCATCTATATATTTCACCACCTACACTTCTGTATGATTTTTGGATGGCTATTTACTTCGTTGCTTCTAAAAGTTTTTTAGGGTTAGTAGTTGGTTTCTCTCCTATTTTTAAAATTAACTGAGGTGTGAATTTAACGAAAGAAAGGAGCACTATGGGCCCAATTGATGTCTACTTAGTCAGGTGCTTTTCAATTTCAAGGGAGCTACTACTTTTATTTTATTTTCATATTATTTGAAATTGAAATGGATGTCCCCCATCCCACAAATAGTCCTTTTCTTGGATAAATGATGCCTCACTTTGGAACATTAGTTGTTCATAGTGTTTTATGTTAGTTAATTTTTTAGCCATATCATCTATATATTTCACCACCTACACTTCTGTATTAACTGAGATGTGAATTTAACGAAAGAATGGAAAGTTTTTTAGGGTTAGTAGTTGGTTTCTCTCCTATTTTAAAAATTAACTGAGATGTGAATTTAACGAAAGAGTGGGGCATTGTTATCTGGAAATGATCTAACCTAGTGATTGGTTATTTATCCAAGTTCTGTTTTGTGTTTTCCTTTTTTTCCCATGCCGTTGATTTTTAAGAAAAAGGTTATGAAATTTTAGAAAAAGGCTATGAAATTATATTTGCTTTTAAGTTCATTCTTGCATTTTTTTGTCATATGCATCTGTCAGTTATTTGTATCATGCCCCTGAAAATTAACCAGGAAAAGTAAGTGATAATCTTGTGGACTATAGGAAAACCATAATCCATTACTGATGGAGCATCCCATTCTCCCCATAACTGTCCTTTGATGACGATGATGTGATGGATTATGGGAAGCCTTTTCCCAAATATTTGGGTTCGGCTACACGAATCTTGGTCTGCCATTATGCTCTATCAAGGGCCCTACCTTCAATGGGGTTGTCTTTTTTGAGCCTTCCATTTGATGTATTTCCCATAATCTACTGGATTATATTATTCTTGCCATAATCTAATGGATTATATTATTCTTTCACTTTTTTGAGCCTTCCATTTGATGTATTTCCCATAATCTACTGGATTATATTATTCTTGCCATAATCTAATGGATTATATTATTCTTTCACATAAACAATTCTGACGTCTCTTTTGATGGATTATATTATATTATTCTTTCACATAAACAATTCTGACATCTCTTTTGATTTTTTACTCTGTAGTCAATTTGATGAGAAGATTGAGGTCTGACGTCTCTTTTGATTTTTTACTCTGTAGTCAATTTGATGAGAAGATTGAGGACATGAATAACATAGAGTCTCAACCCATAGACATGATCCCTACTTCTGTAGTCAGTAACAACAGCAGAGTACAGCCAGAGTTTCCTGCGATGGGCTTATTGAAAGATATGGGGCATGTTCAAGATGGTCAAACTACGTCGTCTAGTTCATGCAACTCACAGGATCTTGCAGGTGGAATGATGAAAATTGTACCATCTTACGTAAATGTAAGTGTTTTCTAGACTTAATTTTTAATTTTCTATTCCTCAATTTTCAATTTTTTAGCCCCTCACTGATTGAGGAAAATCACAGATTGAGAACTCTTAATGCGTATGCTTTGATTGTTGCAGCTTGATACTGATTACTGGCTTTCTTCTCTTAATGCGTCTGCTTTGATTGTTGCAGCTTGATGCTGATTACTGGCTTTCAGCAGATGCTGGAGTCAGCATGACTGATATGTGGAAGAGTGGATGTATCCTTCACAAACTTTCGTATTCTTGCAGTCCACCTATCTCTCACACACAAGCTCATCCGCAAACACAAACAACTTACTGGATTGGGATGTAACCAACCATCTTTCTCTCTCTCTCTCTCTCTCTCTCTCTACTGAACTGGCAGTGTTACCAGCTATGAATCACAGATACTTCATTGCATTCCTATGTTATAATGAGATCATGTCAAAATTTACCGAAAATATTGGTGTATTCACTTTCCTAGCCTTATCCATCTGTTATAGCTTACAAGTTGAGCTGCCGCTCTGTAAATCCTTGCTTTGATCTTTCTTCTGTGTTTCTTCCATATTCCTGGTCAATGTAAAATACGTAGCCTTATCCATGTGTCATAGCTTACAAGCTGAGCTGTGGCCAAGTAAAATACAGTGGTGAAGTAAAATAAAGTATTATTTATCTTTTCCCTTGACTCTGCTTAGCTAGTGTTGCAGTTCATGAAGATGAAAGAATTAATTTGGACAAGTATCCAGTGGCAGATTCAGGAGTTTTACAGCGACATATCCCATCATCTTGTAATCATGAGGTGCAGAATTTCACTCAATCTGAACTGTGAAGACAGTTGAGTACCTGAACTGGACCCATATGCTTTGTAAAGCCCAAGACCTATGTGACTAGATTAGCTTGCTGGTCTGAGGAGGTTGGTGCCTGGAGCATGTAAAGAATTTGACAACTAATGGTGCAATGGACTCAAACCACAAGAAGCAACCGATGCATCGATTGAGAGGATGTTGATTCCCAGCCGATCTTCAGCTTTAAAGAGAAGGTTAAATGTGTAAACAAAATTGAATGGCATGGCGAATAAGTTCGCATTTGGCTTGGGTTCTTGTTAATAGTAAGCTTCCACTGAAAATGTGGTTTTGTTAAATTCCATGGATTGCCTGATATTAATGGAAAGTTTGGAATTGGAATGTTCGTCATGTGTCATGTAATTACTAGTTTCCCTGGCGAATAAGTTCGCATTTGGCTTGCGTTTATGTGGTTTTGTTAAATTCCATCGATTGCCTGATATTAATGCAAAGTTTGGAATTGGAATGTCCATCATGTGTCATGTAATTACTAGTTTCCCTACTGATTAATAGGGCGTTTGTAGTTTTGTGACCTGATTAGATGATTTCAGCTGTTGGGGCCAGCAGGGAATGAATTACTGGCCTTGCTGGTACTTTGACTATCCCATCCTAGACTATCCTGGAGACAGGCAGGGTGCCCCTGTGCTGACCTGTTTTGGCACTATGTTCGTGAGTTTTTAGATTTTTTCGCCTGTTTTGGCACTATGGTCGTGAGTTTTTAGATGTGCATTTTTTTGAAAGTGTGGTTGAGAGATCGGTAGGAGTGTGGTGTCCGATGGGCCCACTTGCATGCATATGAAAGCCCTATGGGGGATGGAGTGCAAGGTTAATCTTGTTCTGAATGGTTGGTATACTCTTTGAGGAGTGTGGTGTCTGATGGGTCCCCTTCCCTAGATTCTCAAGGTGCATCAGGGGGCCATCTGGGTCCTTTGGGACCCCACTCTTCATTCCTTAACTCCTGGATTGACCAATTTTCTCCTGTATGCATCTGGGTCCTTTAGGACCCCACTCTTCATTCCTTAACTCCTGGATGCATCTGGGTCCTTTGGGACCCCACTCTTCATTCCTTAAGAGAGAGACTGTGACTGATCAGTCACAGTCTCTCTCTCTTTACTGTCCGATGGCCTGCATTGAAAAATTCATTGCTATCTACAGACCCAACTCAGACTGCCTCAAACCCTCTTTTTGTTCCGAGTTCCAATTTATGGCCTCTGTCGGTCCTCCCACTTGGTGTTTGGGTGGGGACTTCAACGTCACTCGGTGGTTCCATGACCACAATTCTAACAATTAGATTACTCCTGCCATGGTTCTATTCTCGGATTTTATAACTCAAAATTTGCTCATCGATATCCCTCTTAAAGGGGCCCAGTTCATATGGTCCAGTCATTCCAGTGCCCCATCCCTTTCCAATATTGACTGGATCCTTATTTCCATGGAGTGGGATCGTCGCTCCCTGAGCACTCACTTTGCTGCTCTACGCAAACCAACATTCGAACCTTGCCCAATCTGCTCTATGCGAACCAACATTCGAACCTTGCCCAATCTGCTCTATGCGAACCAACATTCGAACCTTGCCCAATCCTCCTTAACACTCTGGCTGTTACTAGAGGCCCCAAGCCTTTCCGGTTCCCCAAGCCTTTTTGGTTCGAGTCGTCCTGGCTTGAAGAGCCCAACGTTTTCAATTTGGTGCAATCCTGGTGGGGTTTATACTCGTCCATGGTCCACGGTTGGGCCAGATTCTGCTTTCAATAGAAATTACACCTCCTTAAATCCTCGCTGAAGACTTGGAGCTCCCATCTCCCGAGTAACTTTCACTCTCAAAAGGAAGCCCTCCTTCAAAGGGGATAATATCGATAGTATCGAGGAGGCAAGACCTCTACTCACGGCAGAACAGAATTGGACCTTCGAGCTAAAGCTAAGTTAGACTACTAACTAACTCTTCAAAAGGAGGAAATATATTGGTCCCAAAGGAGAAACAAGTGGCTCAAATTAGGAGACTTCAACATGGGGTACTTCCATAAAATAGCAAACTGTCAGAGGCGCCAAAACTCCATCACCCACCTTAGGGTGGACAACTCCATCCTCGATCAAACTGCACTTATTGAACAAGCTGTCATTCAGTTCTTTGCTCAGCTCTTCTCAGCCACTTCGGGAGTGAGACCATCCATAGATGACCTTGCGTTTCTCACTCTACCCACTGAAATTTCAAACTGGTTGGAATGCCCTCCCGCCCTCCCTCCCTCCCTCCCGATATTCTTGCTTTTTTCTCTAAGTTCCATTCTAGAGGTGTGATAAACAAAGCTGTGAGTCACCTTCATAGCTCTCATTCTAAAAATGGAGCAGAGCAACTTAGAGACTTCAGACCCATTAGCCCTCCTTCTACTCACCAAATAGCTCCTATAAATTGCTTTCCAAGGTCCTCGCCTCTAGGCTGAGGGCTGTTCTCAATTGGTGATCTCCCCTTCCCAAGGGGCTTTTGTTAAAGACCGCTAGATACTAGATGGCGTACTTATAGCCCATGAGTGTATTCACACAAGGCACTCGTCTAAGACCTTTGACCTAGTCGTACAATTTGATTGGGACAAATTTTACGACCACATTGAGTGGTCGATCCTTGATGAGACTATGAGTAGGATGGCTCTTGGATCCACATGGAGGCAATGAATCCAAGGGTGCATCTTAATTCCTTTTTTCTCTATTTTGATAAATGGTTCCCTCAAAGGCCATTTCCCAGCGACTAGAGGACTTCGCCAAGTTGATTCTTTGTCACTATTCCTTTTTGCTATTATGACTGAAATCTTCGGTTCCTCTATCTCTATGCGTTACCAAACCGGCCTACTCAGTGGCTTTAAATCCAGTTCTCATGGTCGAAGAATTGCCTTCTCCCTACTGTTATGCCTAGGCATGCCAGGCAGACTCACTCTTATACAAGCTACCCTCGCTAATACCTCGGTATTTCAAATGTCGCTATTCCACATTCACCCCTCAGTTGTGGCAAGATTGGAGAGGATGACTCGGTATTTTAAATGTCGCTATTCCACATTCCCACGTCAGTTGTGGCAAGATTGGAGAGGATGATATGAGAGTTTTCTGGTCGGGGGATGATGGCTGCAAATATCACCTTATTTATTGGCTGAATTGTGCATGCCAAAAACTCTAGGTGGTTTAGGCATTCGCATTCTCCATGCCCACAACCTGGCCCTCCTAGGTAAATGGTAATGGAAATTTGCCATCCCATCCCAACACCTTAGCAGGGAGGTAATTCGTTTTAAATACTGTTATGGGGTCGACATTTGGACCAATGTATGTAGAGTCAGCAGCAATATCTCTGGCTTTTGGAGGCCGGTGCTTAATTGTCACAATTTGTTCCTCCAACATATCCGTTTTCAGCAGTGGGAAGGGAACCATGTGATATTTTAGTATGACGTTTGAGTTGGACATGCCCACTTAGAGAACTTTTCCCACACTTGTTCCTCCTTGCTCGGGAACCCCAATCTTCTGTGGCCGAGAACTTTGACCTTAGATCCTGAGTGAACTTGGGGGCCCAACTTCAGAAGGCCCCTAACTGATGGTGAACTTGAAGAATTCAGGACCACGGTCGAATGGCCGCACTCGGTATTCTTCTCCCTCACTAGGCGAAGACAAGATTAGTATTCTTCTCCCTCACTAGGCGAAGACAAGATTAGTTGGTCGTGGTCACCAACAGCTTCAGGCAACTTCTATGTGTCATCTTGTTTGCGCTTTCGCCCTTTTTCTAAATCTTGCCTCCCCTCCCCTTTTGCTGGCTTCCAAAACATGATTTCCCCCAGTACCACCGAGAATCCAAGTTTTCTGCTGGATTGCCATTCATGAGAGAGTCCTCACCATTGACCACATTCAAAAGAGAGGACTCCCTTGTCTGAACAAGTGTGTTATGTGCACATCCAAAAAAGAGGACTCCCTTGTCTCAAACAGTGTGTTATGTGCTTGGAAGTGGAAGAATCAAACGACCAGTTGTTTATCCACTGCAAAACGGCCTCAGCCTTATGGGCCAACCTGCTGCGAGTTGTCCAATAGTCTTGGGTGACTCCTCGATCGGTTCTTCACCTCTTCGAGGCCTTCCTCTCGGTTCCCTGGCCCAAGGCTAGTCATCTCCTTTGGAAAGCCTCCACGGCAGCCACAATTTGGGTTCTTTGGATTGAAAGAAACCACAGGACCTTCAGTGGCCAGAGGAACCCAGTTACTGCATTGATTGAGAAGGGGCCCTGAACCATAAGTTGTTTAAGGGTTACTCCCATTCAGATTTGCATAGAATTGGCACCCCTTGATCCCCCGCTTGGAGACTGTCAGAAGCGGGTTTTCTCAAGTTCAATTTTGACAGTTGCTCTCCCGGCAATCCTGACCCCCTTGGGGTAGGGGGCATGTTTGGGACTTATGAAGGCAGCTTTTTGTCATCTTACTCGCGACCTATAGGTATAGCTGACTGGATTCTTGCTGGGGCCCTACCTGGATGCCAGGTTTAGTACCCTTGGAGTACAATGCTTGCGGTCAAAGGGGATTCTAGGAACGTGGTCACTTGGTCCTCCAACCTTTCCTACTGTCGGTAGAGACTATCTGTGGAGACTTTCTTGAAGTCACATCTACAAAGAAGCAAAACCCTTCCTCCTGTCGGTAGAGACTATCGGTGGAAACTTTGGTGTCTTGGAGTCACATCTATAGAGAAGCAAATTCGGAGGCAGAGGCCAACTCACTGGCTAGGGAGGTAGTTCACTCTAATTCCTTGCTGGGGAACTAGGCTTCCTTGTGCCTCCCACTCGCACCTTCTCTCTCTTGTTTTTCTTGCTCCTTTAGGGTGCCTCTTTTTTTGGTGTACTATTTTAATTAATACAAGTGAACATTCTCCCCACAAAAAAAAAGAAAAAGAAAGAAAACAAACAAACAAACTAGCTGAGTGGGTGGTCACCCAACCCCTTTTTGACGGTCCTTAACCCCTCTTAGATAAGACATTTGGATGGGGGAGGGGTGGCATTTAAGCTCAAAGTAGTGTGTGTCATTTCCCCCATGGGAGTAGAGATTTCCGTCATGTTAGATTGG